AAGGGTCGTTTTGATTAAATCTGACATGCTGCTGATAACTCCATGCTAATGTGAAATAATTAACATAATAGCCATAATTAAAAGCACGCTAACAATGCCATAAATTTATCACACAATTTTACTAGCTTTCTGCCCCTAACTGCTCTCTCATCGTTAATTAAACGTGTTGCCTTTTACAGAATGGATGTTTATACATTTCCAATATAAATAAATTCGAAACCATCCTCTCTCTCTCCCTCTCTCCTCCTTTTCTTTTGGTTTCTAGCCATTATGGGCACTCCTTGGCGTATGCCTGGAGTGCCGGACACCTTGAAAATAAATGAAGTTGTGAGATGCAAATCCACAAACAAGAACAGTAAATTAGCCTCTTTTTTTTCTTCTTCACCCCGAAGAGATCTGGAGAGGTATATAAGCGGGTACAGGGGGGAGGTGACTTGGAAATCCCACCCACTGGGAAATGGAAATCGTGGGTGGATTGGAGGCCCGGGTATCACCTTCCCATCTCCCTCGGTTGCGACCATCCCAGCAAAGTGGCTGATAATAGTTTAACAGATCTATGAAGATTGTCAAGAAGGAGCCGCCTTTGACTCATCGAGAAAAAAAAGGGGGTGGGGTGGGTATATACCAAATGGTCTCCACCCATGTTTTGTTTCTTTTGCAATAGAGGACAGGTGGCTGCTCTCGGTGGGGGAAGCGACCTTTACTCTGCAGAACCTGGTCTCATCTCCCCGGATTGTAAGAAAAGTGGACCCGCGCGCAGTGGCATGATGATCCCATCTCAGATGGGGCCAACGACTCATCCAAGCCATTGCAAAGTCCCTAGATTTAAGGAGTGAGGAAGAGGGCACCAGGGTTCGCTGGGGCCTGGCGAAGAATAGGTGGGCCATTTCCACCTCTCTCGGATCTTGCCCCTCCGCCCGCGTTGACCACTTAAGAAGCTAAATTGAGCTGTAATTAATTTCCCCTTCTTCGTCATAAATTGTTCCATCAATTTCTTCCCCTTAACCCACCCCCGGGACACACACACTAAATCTCCCCTCCCCCGGAAATGTCTCAATTTCCCTCCTATTGATCAGGATTCCACTTTTCTTGTCTCCTGTTGCTAGAACCTCACGCACCCTCTCCCTTCGACGGCCCCAGTCCTGGTGGCTTCCCCAGCCGTGTCCCACGAACTCTGCCCGTCCCAAGGGTGGCGGAGGGAGCTTCAATCTACTCTCCTTTGGTTGAAACGTTTCAAACATCTGAGCTGGTGAGACAGCTGGCTGCCATCTTCCTCTTTAACTCTCTCCTGAGAAGTTTGCTTGCGACCCAAGTCTTCACCCACAGTTTTAATTGTGTGTATGTGTGTGTATGTATTCGTTCTGCCTCTCTCCCCCGGTAATCTTCTGCGACTCAGTATCTTTATCGATACCTCTTCCTCCCGTTCTATCACATTTTTCATTCGCCGACTACTGTGTCACTTAGTGGAGACTGTATTTGTCTCGCTTCTTCCATCTCTCTCTGCCCTAAAGTTTGGCGGTAACTGACAATTTGTGGGCTTTTAGCTGCAAACTGCAATTACGCGGCAAACAGGATTTACTTAGCCCGGAAACTAGCCGGCCCTAGGCAGGTCCCTGCCCGGCGCCGGGATCAGGCCCTTCTGCCTGGGCGGCCTCCCACAACGAGGGCAGCGGGAACCTTCCTGCCTCCCTCCTTAGTCGTGGCTTTGCCTTCTTCCCACCCGTGCAGGTTGCGCGGGCGCTACCCAACACCGGGAAGGAGGAAAACGGCTGCGGGCCCCCGAGCCGAGAGTAGCGGGAAAATCCCCGGCCTCCGCTGGAAATCGATATTAATCGGTTGGGCCTGGGCGTCCAGGCCACAGCCAGTAGGTCCTGCACGACTCATCATTTAGCTAATCGAGTCGAAAAGTTTCTGTAAGGGCCGGCCCCGGCATCAGATGGTAACACTGATTGAACAAGAGATTAGCACAATAGATCTCTAACCGAGGGGAAGCGTTGCTTTTCACGCTACGCGCCGTAATTAATGGTATGAATCAATTAATTTGACTTTTATTGTGTCGAAGGAAAAAAGCGCAACAAATGGAACCAGCGGCTGGGAGTTGTTCATTCTCCCCACCCTTTCCCCAGGGAGGTTCCAAGGAGAATCTGGGGAACTGACGGATCTGGCCGGGCCTTGGCGAAGGGAGGGTGAGAGGCAGCGGCCGGCGCGCCGAGGGAGTCTTGTGAGCCAGACCCAGCGGGCTGCAGAATTGAAATTAGGCTCATTTGGAGGCTACTTCAAGAAGACCGGCGAGGACAGCCCGAGGAGCCGCCACCTCCGGCACGAACACACAAGCGTCCACGCCCGCCCAGCCTGCCATGGGGCCCGCGCTGCGGCCGGTACCTGTCTCAGGGACTGGACCACCGAAGCTGAGCAAAAGGGGTTTCCGAATTTGTACATTTCGGTTTTTTGTTTGTTTGTTTGTCCTTTTGACTTCCTTTTGTAATTGTTGGTTGGCTCGGGCGGTTGCTGCCGCGACCTCCTCTGCAGCCGGGGGCGGCGGGCAGCCAGCTAGCTGATCGAGTTGGGTTCGCCTTGGGCTATCCAGACGGCATTGTAAACGGTTCGGAGCCTGCCGGCCACAAAGCGGTGCAGCTGCGGAAGTCAACGCAGAGATGCGTTTTAGGGTCAAGCGCAACCAGGGGATCATTTAAAGATACAGAAAAATCGTGGATGGCGGGCATTTCAGAATGGAGTCACTGCCCTCACCCTACCTCCAGCCCCAACCAGGAACATCCTGCGAAGTAGGAATCAAATGGGCTAGTGTTATATCCGGGGGAACTGTCTAACAGCTATGAAAGTCAATCTGTGTTTCTCACCGCCTGTAATGAAGTTAACGGATTTTTGGGAGCGGGGTGTATATCTAGGCCAGGGGAAAAGAGAAGGTGGGGAGACACAGAGACAGAGCGAGTCAGAAGCATCACCTTCCACCCAGAATCAAATCCGTTTCCCCAGAGTCTTCTGTAAATACTTCACTAATCTTTTTTTTCTCCGACCTCCTCCTCTCGTTCCTTACTCTGGTGAGGCCAGCATTCCCTTCCCAGGCCGCGCGAACTGGGCTGAAGTTCGGGGAACCTGCCACGCCGGGCAGGCGTTCACCGTTTGCAGCAAGGCGGCCTAAAAGCGGGGAAGAAGAGGCAGCACAGCGCGGATTCACCGGGTCAGGGGCACCATTCCCCTTGGAGATGGGAAGTCCACGCGTCCCACCAACGCCATGCACTCGGGGTCAGTTTTCGGTTCCCCTTGAGTCCCCAAGTAAATCTCCACAGACTTTCCTACCCTCACTGACTTTCCTTGCCAAGAAAATTCCGTGTGCATTGGTCGCATCCTCACCTCCTCCGCTCGCTCTGCCGCTGGTTTCTGTGGAAGTTAAATCTTGGAGGGTTTAGTCTCCGCCTTAAGACGAGAGAGCTCACGCTAGCAGCAATTGAAAGTCCAGCCTGCAGGCAGGCCCGATGCTGTCCCAGCTCCCCGGAGGCCGGGCCCCGCCGCCCGGGAAGTCACGCCGGATCCCAGCGTTGTTCTGCCGTCCCGGTCAGGTCACCGCGTCTAACCGGGAGGCCCAATGCTTTTTCCTCGCCCCACCCAACTTACCCGGGCCGCTGCCAATCCCGGCTCCTTCCCCAGCGCCTCATTTCCAACTTTTCATATGCTAAGTCGTTTAACAACTCCGAGATGCTAATCGTAGCTCCTTTACTTATAGTTTCCCTGTTATTTTACGTCGTTTTTATTTCTCTTGGCAATGATTCTAATAGATTAATCAATAGCCATCTTCTGACCTTCGGAAACCCCAGCTGATGCCATCGTGGCCGCAAGAAAAAAATATATATACATATATGTGTATATATATGTATAAACTTGCCCACACAGAGCCCGAACAGCGAAGGTAGACTCAAATGGTTTGGTTTGGGGAAGGTGGAGCGCGTCCCCTCAGCAAGTGTCTCCGCCGAGTGAGCACTGAGGCAGGAGGGTGTATGAAGTCTAATTAGCAAGACCCAGCCGGGTGCGCCGCCCTTACGCTTTAGAACTAAAAACAAACAACAAAACAGAGACTACCAAGTTTTTCTTTTGAAAGAAAATGAGACGGGAATCTTGTTTTACCCATTCCCTGCCTAGTGTGTTGGGAAAGGAGGTCAGGAGGAAGGGAGAAAGGGAGAGGGGGCGGGGAGAACAGAGGAAGAGAGCTTCTCCGTCCGACGGACGCTCCCAGGCCCACACCCTCACTCGCTGACACCCACCCACCCACGCTCCCTCGACCCCTGCGCCGGGCTCGGGCCTGGGTGGAGTCCCTGGGCTGGCTGGGGAGCCCTCGGGGCCCACGGGTTGCTAGCGCGCGGTGCGGTGCGCAGTTGCGCGTCTCTCGTCCCTTTGTTGACAATTCCCAGAACCAACTTGAGTTTGGCCGGCTCCGCGGCGGCCCTGACGTCACGCGTGGTCACGTGGCCCCGCCTCCCGCTGGATCTTTAAGTAGAAAGTAATCTATCAGGCCAGTCCTTAAAACAGGACTTTCGACTACCGGGGCTTCGGCGTCCCTGACACTGCCCCCCAAACCCCCCCGTCGGTTGCCCCTGCCCGCGCCCTCTGAGCTGCTCCGCGCCGGGCGTCGTGCGCCCGCCTGGACCGCTCCAGCGCCCCACGCCCTGGCCAGCGACCGAGGAAGCTGGGCGAAGTAAGGGGGCGCGGCGCGGAGAAGCCTCGTGGTCCGGGAGCTGAAGCGATCACCTAGCACCGAGCGCCGAGGACCGCAGGAGTTTACCGAGCGCGGCCGCGGGGGGCGGACGGCAGCGCCCGCGCCGCGCGATGCCGGGCTGCCGAATGTGAGCCTAGCCGGGAGGGCCCCAAGCCACCTGCGCCCCCTCCCTTTCTCCAGCCCCCATCTTTCGGGGGCGCTCGAACCCCCTTTCGCGTGTCCTCATCGTCTACCGCTCCCTCCTCGCCGCCACCACCAACCCCGAGGAGGGATGACCCTCTCCGGCGGCGGCAGCGCCAGCGACATGTCCGGCCAGACGGTGCTGACGGCCGAGGACGTGGACATCGATGTGGTGGGCGAGGGAGACGACGGGCTGGAGGAGAAGGACAGCGACACGGGCTGCGATAGCCCCGCGGGACCGCCCGAGCTGCGCCTGGACGAGACGGACGAAGTGCCTCCGGTGGCACCCCTCCACGGGCAGCCTCAGCCGCCGCACCAGCAGCCGCTGGCACTGCCCAAAGAGGCGGCCGGAGCCGGGGCCGGGCCAGGGGGCGAGGCGGGCGCGCCCGAGCCGGACGGCTGCAGGAGCGGTATTGGCGGCGAGGAGGGCAGCGGCGGGCCCGGCTCGGGCAGCGGGGCGACGGGCGGCCTGGCCCCGAGCAAGCCCAAGAACAGCCTGGTGAAGCCGCCTTACTCGTACATCGCGCTCATCACCATGGCCATCCTGCAGAGCCCGCAGAAGAAGCTCACCCTGAGCGGCATCTGCGAGTTCATCAGCAACCGCTTCCCCTACTACCGGGAGAAGTTCCCTGCCTGGCAGAATAGCATCCGCCACAACCTCTCCCTCAACGACTGCTTCGTCAAGATCCCCCGCGAGCCGGGCAACCCGGGCAAGGGCAACTACTGGACCCTGGACCCGCAGTCCGAGGACATGTTCGACAACGGCAGCTTCCTGCGGCGCCGGAAACGCTTCAAGCGCCACCAGCAGGAACACCTGCGCGAGCAGACGGCGCTCATGATGCAGAGCTTCGGCGCCTACAGCCTGGCGGCGGCGGCCGGCGCCGCGGGGCCCTACGGCCGCCCCTACGGC